ACTAGGAACTAGCTGATGTTTTTCCCAAATAAAATGTATTTTACAAGGGCTAGAGACTTGTCTCTAATCACTCGTTTGAACTGTGAACAGGCACCTATGTGGTTGCATCCGTAACTTATCTGCATGAACATCATGTGCTATACATGCGGAATTCTTACGCAGTGTTTAAGAGGAAGCGGCTGTGCCAGGGCTGCCGCCCAGCCAGCAGAGCTGCGGTCCGGAGGGCCCCGCGTGGCCCGAGCTCTCCGCCTCCCCCGCCCGCCAGCCCGAGGCCGCCCAAGCCCGGCCCGCGGCCCCAGCAGCAGCGCCGTGGCCGGGTGGAACGCCCACATCCGCAGCCTCATGGCGGACGGGACCTGTCACGACGCGGCCATCGCGGGCCATAAGGGCTCGCCCTCCTTCTGGGCCACCGGCCCCGGAAAAACCTTCGTCACGCCAGCTGAGGTCGTTGTCCTGGCTGGCAGAGACCGGTCAAGTGTCTTCGTGAATGGGCTGACACTTGGGGGCCAGAAATGTTCTGTGATCCGGGACTCACTGCTGCAGGATGGGGACTGGACGGTGGATCTTCGCCCCAAGAGCACCAGCGGAGCCCCCACCTTCAATGTCACTGTCACCATGACTGCCAAGACGCTAGTGCTGCTGATGGGCAAAGAAGGTGTCCATGGCAGTTTGATCAACAAGAAATGTCATGAAATGGCCTCCCACCTGCGGTGTTCCCAGGACTAACCTCGGCTGCCCCTTTCCCACACTCCCACGGCTTTTGCACCCCCTCCCATGCACACATGCACCATTTTCATTTTGGGGGCCATTACCCGACGCCCTTTATTGCTGCCAAAACCACATGGGCTGGGGGCAGGGGCTGGATCAACTGACACCTCCCCCTACCCATACCCTTCCTGTGTGTGGTTGGAAAACCTTTTTGTTTTTGGGGGTTCTTTTTTTTCTGAATAAAAAAGATTCTACTAACAACAACAAAATATCATTAAGAGGCTCTTATTTGTGAAGTCTCTTCTAATTTTTTTTTTTTGGTGTGGGGTGGGTGGTTCACCTTCCCTGAAGAAAAAATCACATCAAAAGCCATAATGAAATTGTCAAAATTAATGACATCAATTATGTAAACTGTGACGCATATGTCTGAGTACTGGCTCCAACTGTCCTATCCTTGTCTCATATTTTGGTCAGGTTAGACCTGGCCAGGTAGACAGGTAAGCAGAATCTTCCTTTCCTTGTGAGCAGAAAATCTCAACATTCCCATTGTAGTTACACTTACCACATTGCTTTGTAACTGCTTCCTTGCCAATCTCCCCTATGAGAGGGTTCCTCGAGGATAAGGGTGGTCTTATTCTCCTTACATGCCTACCACACCATTGAGCTCGGTGAAAGCTACTGAAGGAAGGGGTATAGAACAGATGCTACTTAGGATTAAATGAAGCTAGACTGGCAGCATTCGCTCATGTCTTAGTTTCCTTTGGCCCCTTCTTTTGAAGTTGTGCATGTAGTTGTGCTTTCTTTCTGCACTGAGAAAGGGTCAAAAGGCAGAGGAGAGATGAGCTTCAAAAACAACCACCTACCTCCCAAAGTAACAATGAAACATACAAGTATTGGGAAATGGTCTTCCTGAATAAGGTAGTCAGCTGGCCTCCCACAGAGTAAATCAGGTCTGTTCCTGTCTTTTTGTATCCAGAGGGAAGAATTCATTTTTGTCGCTGCTTCTCCAGTCCTACTTGGTGGATTCACATGTGCGATGATTAACACTTCTGCAGACTAGCCTATTATTCATGAGTTATGACAGTCACTTCTGCATGCGAACCTGTTATAATATGCAAAAAGAAGATTATGAGACTTGCCAGGACCCAAGTCATCCATAATCTAAGACTGTGCTACACTCAAATCTGAACCTGTCTCTCCTTGTCACAGGCCACACATTAATACCTCTTAAGAATAAGAGGTATCTCTTGCTCCAAGAATGATTTTTTCTTTTTGAGTTGGAGTCTCATTCTTGTTGCCCAGGCTGGAGTGCAGCAGCATGTTCACGGTCATCGCAGCCTCCACCTGCTGGACTTAGACGATCCTTCCACCTCAGTCTTCCAAGTAGCTGGGACTACAGACACTGGCCACCATGCCCAGCTAGTTTGTGTGTGTGTGTGATTTATTGTCGAGATGAGGTCTCACCAAGTTGCCCAGGCTGGTCTTGAACCCCCAGGCTCAGGCAATCCTCTCGCCTTGGTCTCCCAAAGTGCTGGGATTACAGGCTGAGCCACAGCACCTGGCCTCCAAGAACATTTTATAGGAACACTAACAAAGTGTTGGTGTTTCTTGTTCCTACTGCTACATGTATGTGGGAGACTGGGTATGTTGACTGTGGCACTTACCATTGTAATAATATGGTAATGTGCTTGCTTCCCCCACTGGATAGTGAGTTTCTCAAAGGCCAGGGCTGAATATTAACTTTCCTTAAGGCCGTTCAACACAGTATATGGCCCAAGACAGGCCCTCTAAAAATATCTGATAGCATGAACTCTTTGATGAAGAGGGAGCAAGTAGAAATTTATGCTCCTGTGGGTACAAATCATTCTGGAATTCCAGTTACCACTCTAACCCCAATACGCCTTTTACCCTCTCAGCACCCTCCAAATCCAAAATGGCAAATGGAAAACAAGGTCAAAATTGAGTCATACCAGTTGAGGTTGGGAGTGTGGATAAGGGTGAATAACCTAAAAACAAAGGAAAAGACCAAGGTTGAAGTTTGCTCTTATGGTACATTTGGTTGAATTAGAAAAAGCCCCCCTTCCTCAGAGCGATGAAACCTGACAACAAGGCAGGTGGATTGCCACATGAATAACAGGCCATATTTCAGTCCCAAGTGCCTAACTCAGCTGGTGCCCTGTGTAGGAAGTGGCTTGTACAAAACCTATGTGGTGGCCCTGAGAAGAACTCCTGCTTTAGTTTTCTTTACAAATAGCCTTAACCTAAAAATCTTAAGAGTTTCCTGAAGAATCTCCAATAATACTTAAAGCTTATCTGTGGTCTCTTGTTTTGCACTTGTTTGGTCTACAGGTCACAATGATTTTGGTGTGAAGCAAAAAGTGGGCCAGAAATGAGATTCAAAACTACTTTTTCAAATCACTTCAACTGTCCTCCAAGTAGCCCTTCAGGTCCTTGGCATCTTCAAACTCTGCTATCCTTATGTGTTCATGACCCTCAAATAAAGTTCTTCTCTAAACTACCAATACATACCAGAGATTTGTTCCTCCAAGCTTAAGCTGATTCAGAGTCAAAATCAAGATGAAGGCTCTCAAATCCCAAAAAACAATGCTCACCTTTGTTTGCCAGAGACCGATATCAGTTAACTGACATCATGCCACCAGCTATTTCCATGTCTACTTTCCATTGGTTTCTTGCCAACCTTTTGCTCTGATTGGCTATGTACATTAGCCCCACCCCCAAGCCAGAAGAAGCCAACTGATCTGGTTCTGGGGAAGCTTGCATTCTTAATGCTCAAGTTGTGTATACACCCACATCTGTCTTAACTGATTTTCTTTGCCTCACATGATAACTAAAAAGGTCAGCGATATTAACCATGTAGACAAAATCTCTATGTTTTTAAAATACTGTGCACTCTATTTTTCTTACACCTACTCTATCTGGTTCAACCCTAACCTTCTTCAACACTATCCCATTTCCCCTCTGACTCTTTTTCAGTTTTTTCCATTCTCTTTTTCTACCTCTCCTTCCTTTTCAGTGTTTCTCATTCCCTTTTTCCTCCCTAACTCCTATCTGTCATTGGGTTTGGTCCTTAATTTGAAGGAACAATGCTCACCCATTCTTCGTGGGAGGACAAATGCATCCCAAATTCTGTGACACCTAACTTATATGATATTTTTTGCCTCAAATCTAATCACTAAATCACAGTATAGATATTACACAAATGAACACTAATTATCAATTGGTGGATTACTTTCAAGGAAGAGTTACTTTATGGCAATAACATTCTACTCTCTTGTTCCTATGCCACACTTATCAAGGTTGCTGCATATCCTCTTCCGCAGGGCATCAAGGAGAACATCATAGTAGTAAGATTACTAAATTTATCATCAATCTTCTTCCTCCCTATGTGTTAAGAAAACTTTAAATGAAAGTCTCAGTTCCTACTTGGCATGCTCATGGCCACTCCAGCCTCAACCTGCTGGGCTCAGGTGATCCTTCAGCCTCAGCCTTCCAAGTAGCTGGAACTACAGGCACATGCCACCACGCCCGGTTAATTTTTGATTTGTTGTAGAGATGAGGTCTCACCAAGTTACCCAGGCTGGTCTCAAACCTGTGGTGGGATCAGGCAATCCTCTCACCTCAGCTTCCCAAAGTGCCGAGATTATAGGTGTGAGCCACCATGCCCACCCCATCCTGTCTGTACTTAACTAACCTAATTACCAACTTCACTACTTCCTCTCATTTTCATCTTCAATTTATCTATACTGGTGTCACCTTGATTTCTCTGACTATTAAGTCTGATTCTCCCTTCAGCTGCACTGCCTCAGATCAATGTGAATAATGCCCTCCAGGTTCTATCCAATACCTATCCCACTGCTGTCCCCTCAGGCTCATTTGGCTCACCTAAACCCCACAGGTAAGACTCTTGTGGTTTTAAGGTTTGAAAATTCAGATTCTCCATGGCTCTTAGAAAAGTTCTCATACTTCAGGAAAACTTGGACAAAATTCATAGTCTGCTCTAGCGTACATACAATTCTGAGAGCTAGAGATAGCACATAAATAAAATACAGAGATGATAACATTTCTCTACATTACAATCTTTCCCACTGAGCTTTTTAAAAAGTAATAATTAAAATGTATTTCACTATTTTTGGTAAAGCCAACTGAAGTAGACTTTGGTAACTCTGGGAGTTGATGGCCGAGGGTTTCCCAGCGTATTTTCCCCAACCCCATCTTCTAAAAATAGACAGTACTCTGTGACTGAGATAGGCACCTAACATAGGTGGCTTAGTCATAGGTCCCCAACCCCCAACATTATGATTGGCTCAGGGGTGGGCACAGGACTCAGACAACACCAATCAGATGTTTCCTTAGAATGGTATATACCATGATTGGGAGACAGGTGTTCTCTCTCCATCTGCCTTCAGCTGTGATGACTGCTCAGAATAGCTAGGGACCACCTTCCTCAGAATAGCTAGGGACCACCTTCCCTGCATGGAGAAAGCCCATCTCAAGTCTAAAAGGCTCTATGAGGCACCAACGTAGATATTCCTGAGGTCTTAACAAACGACCTTAAAATCCCACCCTGGATTTTATCTTTTCTCAGAAGCCATTTCTTAGTTTGAAAACTTTTTGCCATCTAGAAAGGATAAAAACAAGAAGCCATTTTATTTTCAAAGCCAGTAAATATTGGCTGTTTTAGATGTTCTCTAAATCTTATTTGAAAGCTGAAATGCTACTAATGCTACTTTTCAGCTTATCTGTCCCCTCTCACAATTGAGTAGAAGTAAGGTGGCACATGAACACTCAGTCTGGAAATATCCTTAGCAGGATTATTGCATTTACTACTTAGATAACAAGTGTGGCCAACCTTATCACCATCTCATTATAGCTGCCCCTTTTCTCCAGCTTCCAATAACATTTTCTTCTCTTTTCTATAAACTCCCACTAACAATCTCCTAGTGAACCTTAATACGCCTGGGTAGGCCAGGCTCAGTGGCTCAGCCTGTAATTCCACCACTTTGGGAGGCCAAGGAGAGTGGATTGCGTGAGTTCATGGGTTCAAGACCCACCCGGGCAACTTGGCGAGACCTCTTCCCTACAATATATCAAAAATTAGCTGGGCAGGGTAGCGCATGACTGTAGTTGCAGCTACTTGGAAGGCTGAGGCAGAAGGATCGTCAGAGAAGCCCAGCAGGTCGAGGCTGTGGTGGCCGGGAGAGTGCCACTGCATTCCAGTCTGGGCGGCAGAGTGAGACTCCAACTCAAAAAAAAAAAGAGGCCTGCATACACACTGCTTGAAGGATTGTGGGTTTTCATTCACACTGTCTCCCAGGCCTTTCTGGCCTCTGCCTACTATCCAGTCCCAAAGACAATGCCACCTATTCTTGATTTTGTTATGCTAGCTTCTCACTTCCAGGTTTCAAAACTTGTGTGTTACATATTGCTGTGTAACATACAAACACAAAACCAAGTGCTTTAAGCGACAATCATTTATTTAGTTCACAAATCTACAGCTTTTGCAGGGTTCAGAAGAGAAGGTTTGTGTCCACTCCATACAACAGCAGCTGGGGTGCCGTGGCTGGAGGATCCACTTCCAAAAAGCTCACTCATATGGCTGGTAAATTGGAAATGACTGCTGGTTGGAGCTTAGTAGGGCTGTGGGGTGGGGCCTCAGTTCCTCCAAGTGGATCTCTCCAGAGGATGGTTTCAAACACAAATATCCCAAGAAAGAGCATCTCTCCTAGTTAGGCAGAGGCTGCATCATCTTTTATAATCTAGCCTTGGAAATCTCATAGAATCACTTCCCCTCTAGTGACAGGCCTGCCCAGATTTGAAAGGAGAGAACAGAGACCTACCTTTCTCTGTGAAAAATGTCATGACCACATCGTAAGAAGAGTACGTAGGATGGTAGATGTGGTCATCTTGGAAAATATAATCCACTACATATTACATTGAACATGAGGGCAACTGTTAGTCCTTTATAATTT